AGTTATACCAGTATTACACAAAAAATTATAAATTTACCCGATTTAGGATCAATCAAACTTAGCGGGTCTGAAGTTAGAAAAATTCGTGTCTGCAAACATAAGATGCACTTATGACTATTTTAATGTGAAGTGCAGCTAATTTTTTCATGCACTTAAGACTTTTTAGTTTGAAGTGCATATTCCCCAGAAATAAACACTTGTTCTTCGAATTTCAACAATCCATCACACGATTCAATACCCAAATATACTCTAAGTGAGCTCAATTTTGAAGCATGACTTTCAATTATCATAAAGAACAAACCTCAATTGTCAATTTTTCAAAACAACAATAAATCAAACAAACTCATTTTACAACTAAGAGAAAGAAGAAGAAGAAACCCTAAGTAGTTACAAAGAGAGGAGCGCCACATGAGCTCAGTACTGTACAATAATATAAATCATCTTAAAACCTGCTCACAAACACCATGTAAATCCAACGTCGCTTTTGTTTACACAACAACAAAGAAGAAGAAGAAGAAGAAAAAGAAGAAGAATCAGAAGAAGAAAAAGAAAAAGAAGAAGAAGAAAAAGAAGAAAAAGAAGAAGAAGAAGAAGAAGAAGAAGAAGAGGAGAAAAATGTCCGAAGTTATATGTACTTTGGGTACTAGATAAACCTTCTTAAAAATGTGGGTACTAGTTAAATGAGTACGACCAAATAGGGTGCCCCGTAGGGGTGTCAATGGATATTTGAGAACCGACTAAACCGACCGAACTGTATCGCACCGAACCAATTTTTAGGTTTCTTTTAAAGAAACCGTAGGTATTTTTATAAATCTACAACCGTACCGATAATTAGGGTAGGTTTTTTATTTTATAAAAATAAACCGAAAAAATACCGAACCATACCGAATAAATTTTGCATGTGAAAAATATATTTAAAGAGTAACTTTAAAACTAAAAAGCATCAAATTTTTTATTAGGCCTTGAAATTATGAAAACTGTTACAAGCCAACAAGTAATTAAAGTAAAAATTGCACGGGGCGCCCTATTTGGGCGCCCCTCTTTAACCTGTAGCCGCTTTGTCTTTTTGTTTGCATCCGTACCCACTTTTTAAAAAACTTCAGCTTCCCTTTATAACTGAGAAACTTCAGCTCTAGAGCTGAAGTTTCCGGGTTACTAAACAAAAACTTCAGCTCTAGAGCTGAAGTTTTTATTTTATAACTAGAGCTGAAGTTTCCGGGTTACTAAATAAAAACTTCAGCTCTAGAGCTGAAATTTTCCAGTTACAGCACAAAAACTTCAGCTCTAGAACTGAAGTTTTTCAGTTACAACACAAAAACTTGAAGTTTTTATTTTATAACTGGAAAGAGCTGAAGTTTTTATTTTATAACTGGAAAGAGCTGAAGTTTTTGTTTTATAACTGGAAAACTTCAGCTCTAGAGCTTAAGTTTTCGGGTTACTAAACAAAAACTTCAGCTCTAGAGCTGAAGTTTTTATTTTATAACTGGAAAACTTCAGCTCTAGCTGAAGTTTTTATTTTATAACTGGCAAACTTCAGCTCTAGAGCTGAAGTTTTTATTTTATAACATAGAAACTTCAGCTCTAGAGCTGAAGTTTTCCAGTTACAACACAAAAACTTCAGCTCTAGAGCTGAAGTTTTTCAGTTACAACACAAAAACTTGAAGTTTTTATTTTATAACTGGAAAACTAGAGCTGAAGTTTTTATTTTATAACTGGAAAGAGCTGAAGTTTTTGTTTTATAACTGGAAAACTTCAGCTCTAGAGCTTAAGTTTTCCAGTTATAAAATAAGAACATCAGCTGGAAACTGCTTAAGTTTTTATTTTATAACTGGAAAACTTAAGCTGGAAACTGCTTAAGTTTTTATTTTATAACTGGAAAACTTAAGCTGGAAACTGCTTAAGTTTCTATTTTATAACTGGAAAACTTAAGCTCTAGAGCTTAAATTTTTATTGTATAACTAGAAAACTTAAGCTGGAAACTGCTTAAGTTTTTATTTTATAACTGGAAAACTTAAGCTGGAAAGCTGCTTAAGTTTTTCGGTTACAAAGACAAAAACTTCAGCTGAAGTTTTCCAGTACAAAAGAAAAACTTCAGCCCCGTGGGCTGAAGTTATGTGAAAAAGCGGGTACGCTTGCAATTTTTTTTGCAAAGCGGGCACAAGTTAAAATGTGGCACAAAAAACGGGTATAGATGCAAATGCCCCGTAATTAAATTCAAAATACTAATTCCTAAAACCTATTATACTACTTATTCTTAAACTATTTCAAGTATCTTTGTTAGCAACACACAAAGTATGCTAGCGATTATAAGTAGCAAACCACATTGCATTGAATATGTTTCCTTTCATATAATTTAGATTTATCTTTTTAAATATTTAATATAGACTTTATTCTTGAGTCACAGTTTGGTTAATATCTTTCCACTCGTCTAATTTATATTTTCTTTGCCTTTACTTGGTTTCTTTTACGTTGCTGTCGAATAGTTGATGGATACTCTAGTCATCTTTCATGTTTTTTTTTTTAATTCATCAACCTTTAAACAGTAAAAATATCTAGAGAGTTTTGCTAAGTCCAATAAAAGAACGTATATTATTGCATTATACTTCTATTGGTGAATTTTACATGACATTTAAAAAAATATCGAAAATTAACCGAACCGTACCGATGCGGAAGTGAAATCGACATGATTGGGACGGTTTCGAAAAGTCTAATTTTGGTTATATGTAATAGAATAACCGAAAAATTGATATGGTACAAATTTTATAAAATAATCGGCCGAACCGAACCATTGACACCCCTGGTGCCCCGTGATTCTTTTTAATTTGGAGCCTCAGTTCATTTTAAAAGTCAATCAATTTCTTTTTCCCAAAATAGATTACGTAGGTTAGGTCAGACTAAGAAACGCGACTGGGCCCTTAGCCCAATTTTTGGAGTAAAATTGTCTTGTTTTAAATGTGCAGTTTGGGCCTCTAATACATCAGAATTTCAGCCAATTTGAAATATGGACAAATTTGAATAGAATATTTTCAGTCCAAGATTAACGGGTTTGATTGGATAATCACTTTTACTCTCAAATTATTTTAATTAAACATTAATTCATTTAATTTATTACTACTTGTTTTATGAGAATTAATTTATTACTACTTGTTTTACTCACGCATCTATTTCACACTTGGAATATATTTACACTTGATCTATAACACCACCTATTTTCATAAGACACTTCACTTAACCTAATTTAATTAAGTCCGGAAGGAAGTTGCTTTTAACTGACGCGTCGTTGCAAGGAAAAGTAGCTAGAAAACTTCTAATGATGCATAAGAGAGCTAGAATAGACAAAAAGTATGAATATATCGACAATTTTAATTTTTAGTATCAGGTCAGCACTGGACAAATAACCCTAGTTTAACCAATAAAGCATCCATCACAGTCAACGGAAACATACGCATGGTCTAGTGGTATTTGAAAATAGACCGCAAATCCACCAAAGATACGCTAAGTCTCATTTCGAAAGCTAAGAACTAAAAGGACGCATATAAAATGATTCCAATTTCCAAGTAAGTGGTGGGACCAGCAATTACCAAATGTTATCTACCACACCGTTTATATTTGTTTTTTCATCAACCAAACTGTTTATCTACGAATTAGCATATCAATTGAAAAGTTACTGCTTATACCAAACAGAGTTAATTAGTTATGCTCAAAGTTTCCGTTATATCGCCGAAAGAAAAGGAAATGGTAAGAAAAGAACCTACACATATTTTATGCTAGAAAATTTTACTGATATCGTAGTGGGCCTGGGCATTGAGTAGAGCCCGAGCCCGCCCAACCAAGCTGAGCTTAACCGAGCTTTTTACATGTAACGATCCAACTGGTCGTTTTGAGCAATTTCGTCCGATTCAGAAGTTTGAGGTCACGAGTAGCTTCATATTATGTGTATCGACTTGCTTGCGCAGTCCGGGCGTGAAACCGGAAAGCTTTTATGTGAAAATATGAAAAATATAGTAATTTCTAGAGTTAAAAGTTTGGTTTTTAGTTGACTTTGGTCAACATTTTTGGTAAATGGACCCGGATCTGTGTTCCGAAGGTCCCAGGAGATCCACGGTAAAATATGGGACTTGGGCGTATGCCCGGAATTGAATTCCGAGGTCCCTAGCCTTAGAAAATAATTTTTGAAGAAAATTGTTGTGCTAGTTTTTAAAGGAAATAAAGAAATGAATTAATGTTTGAACTCGTTGGTATCGGGGCCGTATTTTGGTTCCGAAGCCTGGTACAATTTTGTTATGATATTTAAGTCCTATCTGTGAAATTTGGTGAGAATCGGAATTGATTTGACGTGATTTGAACATCCGGTAGAAAAGTTAGAAAATCATGAGTTTTGAGGTTAAATTCGTAGTTTTTGATGTTATTTTGATAATTTGATTGCACGAGCAAGTCCGTATGATGTTTTTAGACTTGCGTGCATATTTAGTTTGGAGCCCCGAGGGCTTGGGTGAGTTTCGGGTAGGTTTAGGCTATGTTGTGCTTGTTTATGGATGCCTCATCATCGTTTCTTCAAGCAAAAATAATACCACATTGAGCAAATAAGATCCAAATTCAGTTTTGTTTGAACCATTAGATCCGTATCGGAATTACAGAGCCATAGGAAAAAGAATCATCGAATTTAGACATCGTATGAGGAAGTTATGCTCATTTTTGTATCGGGAAAAATTACTAGTTTCTGGTGTGTTTGCAAATGCGAAAATTTACATCGCATTTGCGATGCCCAGTTCACAAATGCGAACTTTTGTCGCAAATGCGACTTCTGCCAGCCGTGATTTGTTCGCAATTTGCGAAGGTTCGCAATTGCGAACCCTGGGTCGCAAATGCGACATCTGAGGCCTGTTACGTGAGGTTTTTGACGAGATTTTCACCCATTTTTCAATTTTCTCAAATCCTAAACCTCCATGGGCGATTTTTCAAAGACCCAAACTTCTCCAAATCAATGGGTAAGTGTCTCTAATCAATTTTCAACTATATTTTGTGATTATATCTTAGATTTAACATCAAATTCATGAGAATCTAAAGTAAAATTTGGGAAAAATTGTGAAATCTTTCAAAAATGTAAAATTATTATTTGAATGACTAAATGGTATCGGAATTAGATAATTTTTGTACAGGTGAACTCGTAGCGCAATGGGTGTTCGTTTTTTGTAAATTTTGTCGGGTTCCGAGTTGCGGGCCCGAGAAGTTGGCTTTTGTTGACTTTTTGCAAATTGTATAAGAATCATGGTTTTGTCAATAAAAATTATTTTCTCTTACATTGTTTGATGTATTCAAGTCGTTTTATGCTAGATTGGGCTGAGCGTTGATGAATCGGAAAAGGAAAAGCTAAATTGAGTATTAAATTGGCTGGATTGAGGTAAGTATCTTTCCTAACCTTGTGTGGGGGACTTCCCCTTAGGATTTGAGTCTTCAATGCTAATTGTAGTCCGTGCATGCGAGGTGGCGAGTGTGTGCTCGGACTTATTTGTGGAAAATTTGCTCTAGGGTTCTTAGGTCCTTACGTTCAATATGTGGAAAGTATTCCATTATGATTGAGTTTAATAATCGCTTAAATTGTGTCTATATGCTCCATATGATGTTGTTAGCTTTCCTCTAATTCTTATGTGTTGCTTGGACCCTTAATTGCCTTAATTGATGTGGTTGCCTTCCTTATTGCTTGATACTTCTTGATTTTGAGTTCCTCTATGACTTCGTGCAAATAGATTACATGTCCAATTGTTGTGGTTACAGGTGTAGTTATTACTTGCTTATTATGTCTTGTTGTTTAGTTGAGGTTTCATTGTGAAGTAATTGTTGGTACAAGTTTGGTTATAGCTGATTCCCTTGCCGGGACATATTTCATTCTTATTGTTGGTTCCCTTGCCGGGATGTGTTTATTCTTGTTGTTGACTCCCTTGCCGGGATTCTTTGGATCGGGTTGCACGCCGTAATAATATTATATGATTTGGATCGGGTCGCACGCTGCAACAATATTATATGATTTGGATCGGGTTGCACGCCACAATAATATTATATGGATCGGGTTGCACGCCGCAATAATATTATATGGGATCGGGTTGCATGCCGCAACAATATTATATGGGATCACGTTGCACGCCGCAACAATATTATGTGATTTGGATCGGGTTGTACGCCGCAACAATATTATATGGGATCGAGTTGCACGCCGCAAAAATATTATTTGATTTGGATTGGGTTGCACGCCGCAACAATATTATATAATTTGGATCGGGTTGCACGCCGCAACAGTTCTATATGATTGGGATCGAGTTGCACGCCGCAACAACAAAGAATAAAAGTGAATATTGATTCTTATGGTGAGAACGAGAGTAAAATCACGAAGGGTGATGCCGTGCACTTTCTGCTGCTGTGTCTATTTGTTATTATCAATTCAAGTGTTTAAACCGTTTAATTTCCTTTATTGTGGTGATCCTTTGTGTTAGAACCTGCAGTGTTTATCAATAACTCACCGTATTTATTATATATACATTCCAATACTTCAAACTTCAAAAATTGTGACATCCCTAATTCAATTAGTTTCTCAATTATATCCCCTTAAAACCGTCTGAGGTCGTATTTTACTTAAAAAGGAATTTCTACTAAGTTTTAAGTTATTAACTCCCATGTTAACGGTAATAATCCAGTCGATGTTGTATTTTAATTGAAAGGGGTACTTTCTTTACTCAAATGATTTCAAAATAAACACCCTCATCTTTTCTCGCTGGCTTTCCTAATTAGTTTAGAAATTGTAATTTACTTATATTAGGTAAATGAGACTTCTTGAACATCTTGAGTGCATTTGTACGGACATTATGTATAGTATAGCATGTGGATTTTTTGTTAAAAGTGAGATGGAAATTATGGGGGCACAAGGTGCCATGTGTGCTGAAGGTTCGGAAGTTGGAATTATGATATGAGAAACCGAGGATTGAGATGGTCGGGATTGTGTATTAGACATGATGTGATTGATTGAGTTGGTATTGCCTTCTTTATGTGAATACATTCTTACTTGTCTCTATTCCTGTTATGTCAGCGTTGATTTACTTGGTTATCTGATTTACTTGGTATCAGTTCGTTACTACCGTGTTCTACCTTTATTGTTCCTACTGTTTGTATTTTGATTCCTCTCCGTTGTTGATATTATCTCATTATCTTTATCTCGATATTTTACTATCATATCTTGTTCATTTCATTTGACCAGTAGGTGTCTTGACTGTTCCTCGTCACTACTCCACCTAGGTTACTCTTGATNATATATATATATATATATATATATATATATATATATATATGTATGTATATGTATGTATGTATGTATGTATGTATATGTATGTATGTATGTATTCCAATACTTCAAACATCAAAAATTGTTACATCCCTAATTCAATTAGTTTCTCAATTATATCCCCTTAAAACCGTCTGAGGTCGTATTTTACTTAAAAAGGAATTTCTACTAAGTTTTAAGTTATTAACTCCCATGTTAACGGTAATAATCCAGTCGATGTTGTATTTTAATTGAAAGGGGTACTTTCTTTACTCAAATGATTTCAAAATAAACAACCTCATCTTTTCTCGTTGGCTTTCTTAATTAGTTTAGAAATTGTAATTTACTTATATAGGGAAATGAGACTTCTTGAACATCTTGAGTGCATTTGTGCGGACATTATGTATAGTATAGCATGTGGATTTTTTTCTTTAAAAGTGAGATGGAAAATATGGGGGCACAAGGTGCCATATGTGCTGAAGGTTCGGAAGTTGGAATTTTGATACGAGAAACCGAGGATTGAGATGGTCGGGATTGTGTATTAGACATGATGTGATTGATTGAGTTGGTATTGCCTTCTTTATGTGAATACATTCTTACTTGTCTCTATTCCTGTTATGTCAGCGTTGACATACTTGGTTATCTGACTTACTTGGTTATCTGATTTACTTGGTTATCTGATTTACTTGGTTATCGTTCGTGTGTTCTCCCTTTATTGTTCCTACTGTTTGTATTTTGATTTCTCTCCGCTGATGATATATCTCGTTATCTTTATCTCGATATTTTACTATCATATCTTGTTCATTCCATTTGACCAGTAGGTGTCTTGATTGTTCCTCGTCACTACCCCACCGAGGTTAGTCTTGATACTTACTGGGCACCGCCGTGGTGTGCTCATACTACACTTCTGTACATTTTTGTGTACTGATCCAGGGATCGATAGTAGCTGTGTGGGTCGTCGCGGTGGAGACTCACGGTAACCTGTTGTTGTGTTCGCAGGCCTCGGAGTCACCTTCGTTTGTATTTACGTTCCATTGATTCCTTCTCGTTCCGGAATAGTGTTGTATTTATTTTGTATAACTACTCTTAGAAAGGCTTATGACTTGTATCACCGGTTTTGGAAATTGTGATTCATTGATAGTTATTTAATTTGATATCAGTAAGTGTTAATGTTATTTCAGTAAATGTTAGGCTTACCTAGTTTAGAGACTAGGTGCCATCATGACTCCTTGGGAAGGATTTTGGGTCGTGACAAGTTGGTATCAAAGCTCTAGGTTCATAGGTGCTACTAGTCATAAGCAAGTTTAGTAGAGTCTTGCGGATCGGTACGGAGACGTCTGTACTTATCTTCGAGAGGCTACAAAACTGTTAGGAAATTCCACTTCTTTCCTTCATTATCGTGCGATATTGATTCAGCTCGAAGTGTATAACTTATGTTCCTTTACATCCACTCGTATATAATATTACGCTCTTAGTGTCCGCTATACGTCAGTGGTTCGTTATGCTATAGACGGGCCACGAAGGAGTGAAGATACAACGGTATTGAGAGGCTATTCAGTTGTTCATATGGAGGTGCAGCGGTTCCCGGCATCTGATTGACGAGTGCGAGCCTGGAAAGGTTCAATTGGTTGACTAGTCGTCGTGATTATGGCAAGGTCACGAGGTGGGTGTTGATTGGGAATAGTTGATGGTATTGGAGTACCTTGTCATTTGTGTTGTACGAGCTGTGAAGGTTAGTTTTGCGGATCATCAGACATTGTTTTCTATGGCTTTGTGCCAAGTGGAGGAGTCCACCAGCGGCATTCAGACTGCATAGTCAGACTTGCTTTAGTTTAGGCCTGAGGTATATGTATGTGTGGTATTGGTAGGTTCCCGAAATTTGTATATGTCTAAGGTCTGAGATCTTGGATAGGACGATGTTGGGACTTTGATTGGGATTATTGCATATCGGCTATTCGAAGAAATGGGTCAGCTTTGTGGTCTTGGGTCAGCATAGCGATGAAGTGATTGGTCCTTTGAATAGGAATTCTCTACTGGTATTTGTGGAAGCACTCTTGGATTGGACAGTTTGTGTGACTCAGTTGAGTTGGGGAGGTGCAGTCCTGATGGCTTATTTGCGTGCGGGCAGATCTCGGAGGGTTCTCAATGGTTTAACTACGGTTTGAGTTGGGTGTCTACTATGGGCATAAGGAATATGTGGTACATTGTGTCTTTCTCCTGAATAGGCATCAGAAATTAATGGGGTGTTGACATTGTTGGCTATCATATGTGAAGAGTGTGCATTTTGGAAAGGACCTTGAGTTTTGGTTTGCAGTGTGTGGCTGGTAGCATGGTTATTACTGGGTTCTGAGGCTTTCGAGGTTCATGTTTTGTTACGCGGCCAGAAACTCGATATGAGTGCTTCAGCAAAATGATAGGGTGTAAGTGTTATATCAGCCATTTGATTTGTGTAGTGGAGTTTGAGTATGGAAGTTTTGGTATTCCTGAGGTTTTAGGTAGATGCCCTCATATGTGGACCATTTCCTACTGGCAGGTTGTGAAGAAACGTTGAGGATGAGGTAATTAATACCATGCATGATTGATAGGTCGCTGTAGATTTTTGGAAATGATATTTACCTATTTGGAAATAATCAGGATTTGGGTTGGGGGGCTATTTGAAAGCTCAATGAGAATATGTATCTTGTATCAGGTCAGGTTTGTGTGCTCCTGTGAGATTGTCATTATGGTTATGTTACCGGGCAGAATGGATATTATTTGTGCCCCTAGCCTATGTTATGTGCTACTCTTTTATGTTGTATTAGGCGCTGAAGTTGTATGATTATTCCCCCCGCATGTTGTAATTCTGTTCAGGCCTTATGGCGATGCGGGCAAGATAGCCCTCGTGATGTTGATTTGTTCATTGCACCTTAGCTGTGCTTGTTTCTTTCATGTTCTAGCACTTTCATTTATTTTCCCACAATTTTATTTGTGCACTCTGTTGTACTTGATATCAGTATTCATATGTTCAGTGAGCCCGAGAATTTTGTCTTGATGAGTATTTGGGAGCGGGCTGCATGCCACAGCGGATGTTGTGTGGGATACCCTTTCCTTGTGTTTATTTGGTGTTGTGTCTTCCCTCTGTGGGGCGATTTGATGAAAAACCTATACTTTTGTTGTCACACATGTTGTACTTGTTAGATAATTCTTCTACTTTGTTTTCCTTTATTTGTGCTGCATAATTGAGTTATTGCTGATTTGGTGTACAAATTGTGTAGTGTAAGAATCTGTGTGGTTCTGTGATGAGTTGTTAGTTGGATTGCTTGTATTGGCTTAGATGAGGTTCTTAGACCCGAGTTTAGTGCTATGGTATTGGGGGTGAGAAATGTTTGGAAGTATGTGGGTGTTTCTGCTAAGATTTGGGTAATGGCCCTTGGCGGGCAGGGGAGCTTCGTGACTTGTTGACTTCATGGGCGGCTATGAGTTTCTGCATGTCTCTTTATCACGGGTAGTGTTGTGGAAGTATGGAACAAGGTTGTATTCAATGTGAAGTATATTGCCGGCATCCATGATGTTATTTGAGCAGCTATGGTGGTCAGAGGTTATTGCTTCGAGTATGTGAATTGTGTGGAACAGCATGTGATTGTATTCTGGATTGGAATTTTTTGCTCGATTCAGCTTGTTCGGGTGTATGTATGAGGAGCTCATGCAGTGGTTCGATGGCCTTGGAACGACTCCGGGCACGTTCGAGGACGAACGTATGTTTAAGTGGAGGAGGATGTAACGACCCAACTGGTTGTTTTGAGCAATTGCAACCGATTCGACAGTTTAAGGTCACGAGTAGCTTCATATTATATGTATCGACTTGCGTGCGCAGTCCGGGCGTGAAACCGGAAAGCATTTATGTGAAAATATGAAAAATATAGTAATTTCTAAAGTTAAAAATTTGGTTTTTAGTTGACTTTGGTCAACATTTTTGGTAAATGGACCCGGATCTGTGTTCCGACGGTCCCGGGAGGTCCGCGGTAAAATATGGGACTTGGGCGTATGCCCGTAATTGAATTTCGAGGTCCCTAGCCTTAGAAAACAATTTTTGAAGAAAATTGTTGTGCTAGTTTTTAAAGGAAATAAAGAAATAAATTAATGTTTGAACTCGTTGGTATCGGGCCCGTATTTTGGTTTGGTGAGCCTGGTACAAGTTTGTTATGATATATAAGTCCTATCTGTGAAATTTTGTAGAATCGGAATTGATTTGACGTGATTTGGACGTACGGTTAAAAAGTTAGAAAATCATGAGTTTTGAGGTTAAATTCGTAGTTTCTGATATTATTTTGATGATTTGATCGCACGAGCAAGTCCGTATGATTTTTTTAGACTTGCGTGCATGTTTGGTTTGGAGCCCCGAGGGCTTGGATGAGTTTCGGGTAGGTTTAGGCTATGTTGTGCTTGTTTTTGGATGCCTCATCGTCGTTTCTTCAAGCAAAAATAATACCACATTGAGCAAATGAGATCCAAATTCAATTTTGTTTGAACCATTAGATCTGTATCGAAATTACGGAGCCATAGGAAAAAGAATCATCGAATTTGGACATCGGATGAGGAAGTTATGCTCATTTTCGTGTCGGGAAAAATTGCTGGTTTCTGGTGTGTTCGCAAATGCCAACTTCTACATCGCATTTGCGATGCCCTGTTCGCAAATGCGAACTTTTTGTCGCAAATGTGACTTTTGCCAGCCCTGATTTGTTCGCAATTTGCGAAGGTTCGCAATTGCAAACCCTGGGTCACAAATGTGACATCTGAGGCCTATTAAGTGAGGTTTTTGACGAGATTTTCACCAATTTTTCAATTTTCTCAAACCCTAAACCTCCATGGGCGATTTTCCAAAGACCCAAACTTCTCCAAATCATTGGGTAAGTGTCTCTAATCAATTTCCAACTATATTTTGTGATTATATCTTAGATTTAATATCAAATTCATGAGAATCTAAAAGAAAATTTGGGGAAAATTGTGAAATCTTTCAAAAATGTAAAATGATTATTTGAATGACCAAATGGTATCGAAATTAGATAATTTTTGTATGGGTGAACTCGTAGCGGAATGGGTGTTCGTTTTTTTGTATATTTTGTCGGGTTCCAAGGAGCGGGCCCGGGGAGTTGACTTTTTGCAAATTGTATAAGAATCATGTTTTTGTCAGTTGAAATTGTTTTCTCTTGCATTGTTTGATGTATTCAAGTCATTTTTGGCTAGATTGAGCCGAGCGTTGATGAATCGGTAAAGGAAAAGCTAAATTGAGTATTGAATTGGACGGATTGAGGTAAGTATCTTTCCTAGCCTTGTGTGGGGGACTTCCCCTTAGGATTTGAGTCTTCAATGCTAATTGTAGTCCGTGCATGCGAGGTGACGAGTGTGTGCTCGGACTTATTTGTGGGAAATTTGCTCTAGGGTTCTTAGGTCCTTACGTTCAAAATTTGGAAAGTATTCCATTATGATTGAGTTTAATAATCGCTTAAATTGTCTCTGTATGCTCCATATGATGTTATTAGCTTTCCCCTAATTCTTACGTGTTGTTTTGACCCTTAATTGCCTTAATTGATGTGGTTGCCTTCCTTATTGCTTGATACTTCTTGATTTTGAGTTCCTCTATGACTTCGTGCAAATAGATTACATGTCCAATTGTTGTGGTTACCGGTGTAGTTATCACTTGCTTATTATGTCTTGTTGTTTAGTTGAGGTTTCATTGTGAAGTAATTGTTGGTACAAGTTTGGTTATAGCTGATTCCCTTGCCGGGACATATTTCATTCTTACTGTTGGTTGCCTTGCCGGGATGTGTTTATTCTTGTTGTTGACTCCCTTGCCGGGATTCTTTGGATCGGGTTGCACACCGCAACAATATTATATGATTTGGATCGGGTTGCACGCCGCAACAATATTATATGGATTATTTTGCACGTCACAATAATATTATATGGGATCGGGTTGCACGCCGCAACAATATTATGTGATTTGGATCGTGTTGCACGCCACAACAATATTATATGGGATCGGGTTGCACGCCGAAAAAATATTATATGATTTGGATTGGGTTGCACGCCGCAACAATATTATATGATTTGGATCGGGTTGCACGCCGCAACAGTACTATATGATTGGGGTCGAGTTGCATGCCGCAACAACGAAGAATAAAAGTGAATATTGATTCTTGTCGTGAGAATGAGAGTAAAATCACGAAGGGTGATGCCGTGCACTTTCTGCTGCTGTGTTTATTTGTTATTATCAATTCCAGTTTTTAAACCATTTAATTTCCTTTATTTTGGTGATCCTTTGTGTTAGAACCTGCGGTGTTTATCAATAACTCACCATATTTATATATATTTATACATTCCAACACTTCTAACTTCAAAAATTGTTACATCCCTAATTCAATTAGTTTCTCAATTATATCCCCTTAAAACCGTCTGAGGTTGTATTTTACTTAAAAAGGAATTTCTAATAAGTTTAAAGTTATTAACTCCCATGTTAAAGGTAATAATCCAGTCGATGTTGTATTTTACTTGAAAGGGGTACTTTCTTTACTCAAATGATTTCAAAATAAACAACCTCATCTTTTCTCTCTGGCTTTCCTAATTAGTTTAGAAATTGTAATTTACTTATATAGGTAAATGAGACTTCTTGAACATCTTGAGTGCATTTGTACGGACATTATGTATAGTATAGCATGTGGATTTTTTTTTTTGTTAAAAGTGAGATGGAAAATATGGGGGCACAAGGTGCCATGTGTGCTGAAGGTTCGGAAGTTTGAATTTTGATATGAGAAACCGAGGATTGAGATGGTCGGGATTGTTTATTATACATGATGTGATTGTTTGAGTTGGTATTGCCTTCTTTATTTGAATACATTCTTACTTGTCTCTGTTCCTGTTATGTCTGTGTTGACTTACTTGGTTATCTGACTTACTTGGTTATCTGATTTACTTGGTTATCGTTCGTTACTACCCGTGTTCTCCCTTTATTGTTCCTACTGTTTGTATTTTGATTTCTCTCCGCTGATGATATTATCTCGTGATCTTTATTTCAATATTTTACTATCATATCTTGTTCATTTCATTTGACCAGTAGGTGTCTTGACCGTTCCTCGTCACTACCCCACTGTGGTTAGTCTTGATACTTACTGGGCACCGCCGTGGTGTG